CCTCAGTCAGCTGTCCCGTTTTTTCCATTTTTTATTCTATTGATTTTCGCTCTTATTGTCTCCAATTCCTGCCCAAATTTGTTAAAATTACTTTTTAACTAAGAAAAAAAGAATTAAAATTTTCTCTGTTTATTACTATTTTTGTTCAAAATTTTTTTTTGGAAATTTCTTTCGCTTCTATCAAAATTCCTCTCTTTAACAGTATTGGGTTTCACTTAAAAGGGTTGTGGTTGTATAACTTTTTCTTAAACTGTGACATCCTTGGCACAAAAATTTTTTTATCCAATTTAATTCTTAAATCTATTCAAGTTAATTTTATTTTTAATTTAGTATTTTCCAACAAATTTCTAAAACTTAATTAAATTTAAAAAAATTTGAAGAACGAATCTCTCCTTATTTTTATAGTTATACCTTTTAACTTCTTGTTTTTAAATTTTAATAATTTTACATTTTATTTTGACTAAATAATTCTTTATTTTTTACATCTATTATTCATTTAATTAATTAATTTCTTTAACAAAAGCTCAATAACCAAATTTTTCATTTATTCTTTAATCAATTTTCTTCTCATTTTTTTTTATTTTTTTAAACAAATTTTTGCGTCCAACTAAATTTAATATCACGTTTTGTTGTATATTTATTCTTTGCCTCATTTTTAGTTTTCCTTTCTTAGAATCACACACAGTTTTATATTTTTTGAGTCACGGGATTGTTTGGCGTTTGGCCTATTATAAAAGGAATTTTTGTATAAAATAGCTTTTTATTATTCAAAATTTAGTAAAAGTTTTTTTGATAAATAAAAAAATTATGTAGATCTCTTAAAAAAGAGAAAATTCTTTATGTATTAATTAAAAATAGAAATTAAAAATTATAATCCTTGTAATTATTTTTTTGGGATTAAAGGAATTTTTTAAAAATCTAGCTAGTCATTCGGGTTAGAGTAGTTCGCGTCCCCCATACCCCGACAATTTATTTTGGAATTGTCGGGGTATGGGGGACCGTGAATGCTCGTCCCCAACAACCTCCGATCCACGACACATCCGACCCCAAAAACCCCAAAGACCCAAGCTACTCTAATTAAAATTTTTCCCGTCCCCGAATATTGGAGATTTGAGAAAACTAGTTCCTGTTGTTGTTATTTATATTTGATTTCATTTTTTTAATTTTTTATTTTTTAAATTTTAATTCAACAACTGTCAATAATTTATATTTCTAATTTTATTTTTCTTCTCTTTTTTAATTTTTTCTGTCAATCAAATAATCTAGAAAATTTATCATTTGTTATTTCTTTAACTAATTTTTGGACCTTGATATGAATAGATTTTTAAAATTTTTTTTGCTTTTCGGACTTTGTACCTGCCGCTGACTTGAACAAACTGATTGAGGGCATTCCCAGTCCAAAATGATATCTTTTTCTTTAATTTTTTTTTAAATTTTTGAACATTTTTACTAAAATCGAATTTTCCTTTATTTTAAAGATATCATGAATCTTCCGATTTCATTAAAAATTATATTAAATAATATTAGATCGCTAAATATTTTTTTCAGCCGGCGTAGCAAGTTTTTGCATTAGTACTTTATGCAATTCAACACAATTAGTATAATTTTAAAAATTTTATTTAACCGGATCCAGATTTTATATATCTGATAATGCCCAACTTATCCGCGAATATCTGAAAAATTAGAATTTTGTGAAAAAAACGCGAAGCAATGGTAATAGAGATATTTGTCGTTTCTAATTTTTTGTTTTTGCCTGATAATTTTAAATTTATTTTTTTATAAAATTTTTTTGATGCTTTTCTTAAAGGAAAAAATAAAAACAAAAAATTTTAAAGATTAAAGTACATTTATCCTATAATTTAAATACATCCATCAAAAGTCCGTAAAGCTAACTGATACAGGTTTAGAAAAAAGTAAAAAAAAATTTGTAAACAATTGAACAAAAATGCTAAATTTATTTTTCAATTATTTTTAAATAAATTTAAAAAAATTATTTAAGAAATAATTAATCATTTGAAGATGTTTCAGGCTTGCTAATTTTGTTTCTTGCCTAAACTTTTCTTTGTATATCTCTTAAATTTTTTATAATCAATCCTTCAATTTTTGATATTTATTTGTTTAAAAAATTTTTTTTCAAATCACATTTTTCAACTTAAAATATTTTTATAAAAAATATTTTTGTTCATTTTCCTACCACTTTTTCGATTTTTTTTATTTTTTTAAATTTTCTATTTATATTCTAAAGTTATTTTCATTTTAATTATTTTTATTACATCCCTTGTCATAAGAAACACAAAGAATTATTTTTTATTCTTTTTTAATTTATTAGTTTCTTTTTGAATATATTTAAATCATCAGCTGTTTAATTTTTCCTATCATTTCTTTATTATTTTAATTTCTAGAAAATAATTTTTTAAATTTTCATTATTATTAATAAATTTATTTTAGCAAAATTTTTCAAAAATTTTTAATTTCAATTATGACCAACTTTTGATTTTTAAAATATTTTTGAAAAGCATAAATCAGATCCTGAAAAATGAAAATTTATCAGAACTGCTAGTGTTAAAACAAATTGTCTCAAATACCCCTTCTCCTTGTTCTTATTTATCACTTCCGTAAAATATTAGATTTTTCCGATACTCCTTTTTTGCTTCCGTAGCACGATCGGAAATCCTGGTAAGCTCTATTAGTGATACTCAGCAATTCTTGTTTCTAAAAATGATGTTTACAGGTTTTTTTGGAATTTTTTTTATAATTTTTTTTTTTCAAAAAGAATAAAAAAGCATTTAATTTTTCCCTTATCTACCCTTGTCAGATCACTTTTTCTTTCAGTCTTTTTTTACTTATCGATACTTTTTTTGTCTAATAAAATTTTTTCAAATAGGGATTTTACTTTATTCCTTGGCCTTTTTAATTATTTTAGATTTTATTTGTTTTATTTTAATTCTTCCGTTATCATTTAATTATAAAATAAGGAGCTTTTTAATATTTAAAAATGGGCGAGAAAACCCCAATAAAAAATAAAAATTCGAAGGAAAAATTTGTAAAAAAAATTTTTTTTGAATTTTTGAGTTTTTTATTCGAAAAAAGATTATCATTTTTTCAATAATAAATAAATTTACTAAATGATAATTTGATCGTTAATGTTTAAAAAATATTTTAAATTATTTATCAGAAGTAAGAAAAATATTTTTTAAATTATTTTAATTATTTTTGTCATGTTTAAGAGTATTATGGTAAATAAATTTCAATACACAATAAACTTTTTCAGTTCAATAAAAAGTTTTTTTTCATTGATTCGTTTGTTTTTTTATTCATTTCATAACGAAACATTTAAAAAATTTTAGTTTCGTTTTGCATAAAAAGTTTTTGAGTTTTCGTACGGATCTAGTTTATTTGGCATCTTTCGACTATAACTCTGTTGAAATTAGATCGAGGGCTGGATCCTTTTTGAGACTTTTATTTTTAGTGCATTTTACGGACCATCTTTAACAGAGCTTTTATTAGTGCTTTGCAGTAATTAGTAGTGTTTTTGCTATTTGAGAAATTTTTTTACTTAAAATTATTCTAAATCATTAAATATTTTTTATTATTTATATCTTTTTTAACTACCATCATAATTAATTATTTAACCAATATTATCTTCCAATTTTAATTTTTAAAATTAAATTTTTAATAATTTTATTTACTTTATTTCCAATTTAAATACTTTGTGTTGTACTCCATAAATTAAATTTAAACAAATTACTCATCCAAATTTATATTTGAATTCAGACATTTTTTTATCTTTTTTATATCTTCCATAGAACACTCAAAATTCACGTGTATTTTGACTAAATAAATAATTAGATATTTTTGGAATATTATTTAAATAATATTTAGTCTGAAATTTTTATTTAAAAATTTTATTTTAAAATTTTATTTGGATTTTTAATAAAATTTTAAATTTTTTAAATTTTAAAATAATTGTCTATAACATACGGTTTTCATTTTTAGATTTACTTTGATATTTTGAAAAGTCTTTGGTCTATAATTTTTTTCCATAAATAACCTTACGCAGAAAACGTAATTTTGCCGTCTTTATTACTTTTGCTGGGACAACCATAATTTTTTAATTTATAATTTTAATTGCTCATATCTTAAGGTGCGTTGCAAAATTATAACCGCACCCCAATTTTTTCGTTGGAATTGATAAAATTTAATTTTCTTCAATTCAACTTATTCGGCAATAAGTTAATTATAAGTAGAAACCGGACCGAAAGGAGATAGAGAATTGTTAATAGAGAATTCTTCCAGTTCGGTCTCTAATTATAAGCAAAATTTAAAAAATTTATTTTTATTCATTTAATATTTTTATTTAATCTATTTCAATTGTATTTTTATAGATAATAAATTATCTACTACATATTTAAAAATATTTTTGTGTATTATTTTCCTTAATCTGTAAAAATAACTTCCTCAATACCTAGAAAGATTATAGATAATTTAAAATATTATTTTTAGAACTAAAAATAAAGTAAGTTAATCCTAAATAAAATACCAAAAATATTATTTTACAAATTTTAAATTTTTTTCTTCAATTATTTAATTATATTTAATTGTTATTTTGTTTAACTTTGCAATTATTATCATTCTAATTTTTTGTTGGTCTAGCCATTTAATTATTTTATTATTAATTTATAAAAAATATTTTATTAATTTTATTGATATAATTTGATTAATTAAAGTATACTTTTATTATTAACCTCCAAATTTATGTACATAAATATGCTATTTTTTCCGTGACATTTATCGCTTAAAAATTAATTTAAATATTTAACTTCCTCTTTTGAGTAAATATTTATTTAATGACCTTTTTAAAAAACTTCTCATTAATTAATTTCAAAAATATTTTTCCTTTATTTTGATAATATTTATTATTAGGGCTGGCTGATCATTTAAATTCCCTGGATATGATTCAATATTCCAACAGAACTTCCTCGATTACCCTTCTATATTAATAAAAATTCTTTTATTGGTTTACATACCTCTATTTTTATTATTATCCATCCATCTAGAGGGTGATTTGTGAGGGAATCTAAATCATTATCTCGGAAAATATCATCAAGGTAATCGAAATCTTTCTTCCAGCAATCGTCTCGGTCCAATTTTTATTTCCAACCATATCATCTTTTATAATTTTTAATTATATCTTTTTTTCTAAGAAGTTTTTGATTATTTTTTTAGACAAATTTATAGACAAAATTCAATTATTTTTTATTTTTTAGACGGTTACAAAAATTTGCTTTCATTTAATAATTAAAAAAATATTTTTTCAAACATCCTTCCATAAAAAACAACATTAAATTATTAAAAAATATGTCACCTTTATCATTCCGTGTAAATGAAGAGTATGCCCAATTATCTGAAATAATTCCTGGTTTATTCATTTGTGGTGTTAATGGGCTTACAGCATCGAATATTTGTGCTTTTCGAATTCAATTAGTCGTTAACTGTACACGAGAGGTTCCGAACCTTAAATGTTTGGGACAAGTGCCAAGAATGAAATTATGGGTTGAGGATACTCCTGAAGAAGATTTATTTGCTCATTTTGATTTGGTTGCTGATCAGGTAGATAATTGACTGTTCAACTAGTAAAAGGAACTAGTACAGCCTATTTCATTAAAATTACAAACAATTTTTTCTAACTTCGTTCCGACTCGAAAACAGTAACCCTGGTTTCTGGGTATGAGAGCTGGGACAAGCTTTCTTATTTTTTATATAAAATTAGTTTGGGAAAATTAGGTTGTCGGATAGTTGGAAATTTTTGTATACTCCTTTTTCGGATACGGATCCCAGATCCGAAAACCTTATTATAGAGTGATAATGAATATTAGTGGACATTGGAAATTAGATTATAAGCTCATGGGGAGATATCCCCGGTGAATCTAAATCCCCTGGTATGATCATGGGCGGTCCTCCGTATACGTTCTTTTATCATATTCAATACGACCCTGTCAACATTAAATTCAAACCCCGCCATATAATAAGCCTTTAACCCTATACATAAGAGTAGATAAAACCAGTCTTATCAGTAGTCTTATATTAAATTCAACTTTAACTATTCTCCAGATGCATGCCATTATTCGAGATGGTGGCGCCGTTCTTGTCCATTGTGTTGCTGGTGTTAGCCGTTCAGCATCTATTTGTCTTGCCTATTTGCTCAAATATCGAACTCGGTCATTACGTGTTGCTTATCATTTAATGTGTGAAAAACGACCTTTAGTTAGACCAAATATTGGATTTTGGAGGCAATTAATTTGTTATGAACAGGTCCTTTATTTTACTCGACAAAAATTTATTTGTAAATTTTTAGTTGATCAAAGGTAATATTGGCTCAGTACGAATTGTGAGAGATGAGGCACAGCCTGATAAATTACTTCCTGATGTAAGTTTAGAAAACATTGAAAATTTAAAATTAAAAAATTATTTTTTGCCATTAATTGTTAAGAGTATTAAGAGTTTGCTTTCCGACGTTTTCCTTTTTTTTTCACAGTTCCGACAGACGATGATAGGCTCCGCCCCTTTTTCTCAGGCTCCGGCACTTTTCTTTTTTCGATCCGACTCCATCTCTAGGATCAGGCTTTAGGTCCTTATCCTACTCAAAGTTTACTCCAAAACAATTGTTTATACTTAAATTTATTTTTTAATTTTTTTCCAGGTTTACCTCAAATCTGTAATTCCTGATAAATATAGCCGACCATTGTCTCCCACAAATGTTGGTGAGGATTCCTCAGTTCATCATTTAAAGCCTATGGCCGATGAAAGTTATTTGTCTGGACATACTTCTGGTCGGCATCGTCGTCGTTCTTCCTCTGGAGGTTCAGATCGTGTTCGGTTTGTTCCAGTTTTGGAGCCTTTGGCTGAACTTGCCGAAGCTGCTGGATAATAACGATTAATTTATTTAATCAAAAGAAAAAAAATAATTTTTAAAATTGTTCTCATATTTATATCTCTCTCTCATTTTTTAGTATTTAGTATTTATTTCTTTTTAACCACCATTTTTTGAAATTTAAATATTTTATTTTTCAAATGCTTTTTGAAGTTATCATTTTAAAGAAAACTTGCTTCTTTAATGTAAAAGCAGGGAATATTATTTGAATTTGGGTAACACCCTGACTTTAGGGTGTGAGTTGTGGGGTTAGGTTGCTGGGGAGGGTATGTCGAGGTTTGACTGAGGGTAATATCTACATAAATTGAAGATCACATGTATGTATGATTCAAAAAACTTTTCATTATATTAATTTACCGCAACAATCTACCTATTCATTTAATCAAAAATTGCTTTATTTACAACGATTTTGTAAATTTTTTTCAGTTTTTGTTGTTTACATTTAAAAATACAATCAGATTATTGTTTAAAAAATTTATGTCAGTTTTGCCGTTTTGAATGAAATAAATTTTATTTAAATTATTAAATTATAATTGGTCCGGTACACTTTAGTAAAGCAAGAATGATATGTATTTACAATAAATACATAATTTCAAATTTAATTATAAAATAATTTAAACAAGCTTATAATTAAATTTAACGTGGCGTAATTGTTTCAAGCTTGATGTAGGTATATAATTTTATTAGCTAGTAATTTAAGTTTAGGCATGTAACTTTTAAGCTACATTATTAATTTAATTTTCAATAAAAATTGAGGTAATATTTTTATAATTCAATAGTAAGTTTTTTGTTTGAAATATTTCAATAAAAATTTTAATTAATCATTTTATTTAAATTATAAAAATATTTAATACGATATTTATTTAGATTAACGACAAATAAAATCCAATTTAATTTCCAAAATAATTTTTAAAAAATATTATACTACATTAATTAATAATGAATAATACGACATTAAAATTACCTGTTAGTTTATTTTTGTGTTGGTAAATTTTAGGGACGTTTGATATACATTAATCAAGACCAAATGTTGATCCCAAAACCGACGAACTCAATACTAGAGTTGGACAAGTCGAGATCTATATCGATATATCATATATCGGTCTTTTTCCAATATCGATATCGAATTTCTCCTAAAATATCGATATAGTCCAACTCTACTCACAATTAATTTTGAATTGCAAATTTCTGACAGTTCCCCTGCGCTTTCAGCTAGTAAATACCCCCACTATCCTTTTTAACAGGTCCTAAAAGTTGAAATATTTTGCCGACTTTTTTAATCTAAAAATTACAAATAAATTTTTCAAGGAAATTTTTCTGGCATACCAATCATCTGGCTTTCAATTTGCTATTTTTCTTCCTGCATTTTTTATGGGTGTAATTTCTTTATTTGGAATTTCAATGAATTCAAGTGTTTGTTATATTGTCGTGAAATATTGGTGATTTAAATCTTGAATATTTTATAAAATTATTACCAATGATTTTCTTATAGGAAGCCTAAATCCTATTTTATTGATGGTGAAGACAATCAATTAGGATCAGTAATTTAAGTATCAGGGCTGTGCTAAATTTGCATTTCGCGTTTTGCATCTTTCGCATTTTTCACGTTTTTCAGCGCGAAAAGTTTCGCTTTCTGCACATCGATTTTTATTTTTAGATTTCGCCCAGTCTTGCTATATACATAAACTTAGATCATTAGAAAGCGATCAGAAGTCTGTTTAAATTAATTAAAGAGTTTGTATTGATTGTTTTTTTTTATTTGATTAATCAGAATTATTCCTGATTCTGCGGAATTCTACGGAAATCAGGCAGACATAGTGTTAACTAGTGTTACTATTTAATGAGAACCTATGATAACTCAAGATTCCTAAATTATACACCTACGATATAAAATAGAATTCAAAGCTGAACCTTTGCAACATACTCTATAAAATTAAATCAGGTTAAATAATTTAGGGGAAAATATACGGCAATGAAAAGCAAAACGAGTATTTTACTGGCTATCAACTCGTTTTGTGAAGTCCTACATCAAATTGGTCATTTATTCTTTTTGATTTTTACAATAAAAGGAAGTAATTTTGTATCAGCTGCATTAGCTTTTAAATATCAAGCTATGCCGATCTTTGGTTTTTTTGCGTCAATTTTTATGTTTTCATCTTTAAGTTTGGATAGAGTTTTTGCTATCGCATTTCCAATATTGTAACTAATTTTATAAAAAATTATAAAATAAATGTAGAGAGAGTTCATGAGTTAGTATAATAAAGTAGAATCACGTATAATATACATAGAAGAATGGAATATATATTTGTTCTGCTTCATAATTATAGATCCGCAAATCTAGAATTACGAAGTAGATTCTAGACCACACCAGATTCGATCATCTCCAGTCTCTAGTAAGGTTGGCAGATCGGGATATCCGGATCCGAAAAAGGCAGGATATCCGGAAATTTTCGGTTCGGATATCGGATCAGGATATCCAAAGATTTCCAACTTCCGCCAACCTTAGTCTCCAGTACTTATACGTGTATTTAATTAGTTTTATTTGTCTATTTTACTATACAGTTACATCAATCTTAATTCTCATCTCTATATTTCAATACATTTGATACTAATTATTAATTTTGGAATATTTATTGTTCATTTGACTTATACTTCAATAGAGGCGTATCCAAATTGGCCTGTAGCTAATTTTTTAGGAGAAGTTATTGGCGTAACTGCTCTTAATTCATTTGATTCAAGAGTTATTTTGATACCATTAATGTTAATTGATATAATATTACATATTGCTGTTGGTATTCTTGTAAAAATTAAAGGAGGTAAACTGATATGTATTTATTGTTATATACTAATTGAAAATTATTCGCCCAAACACCAAAATAAAGATCTAGTGTCTTATTGCAACTATAAATAAAAAAATTTTCGCCTGTGGCGCATAAATATTTAGTTAAGAATTTTTTGACAAACCCCGACACCCGACAAAAAGTAAAACACGAACCTGAAGCCTACATCCTCTACACACCAACTTCGACCCAGAAAGTAAGTAATTACCCTAGCCCTTACGATCAAGATATCCCATGCAAAAAATACCAGAATCAAACATTGCTAAACTTATAAAAATCTATCTAATATTTATTTTTATAAGTCGGATTCTAAAATCTTTGAATTTAAAGAATCTTAAAAATAGGAAACCACAAAATTAAATAATCTCATTTTATATTTAATTCTTTTAAAATTTAAAAAGATTTGCAAGACGAAAAGATGCGTAAATTGTTACGTTCGCTTTCACTAATAGTTTTTGTAAATATTGGTGGTTATTTTATCGTTTTGACATTAGCTGTTTTATGGCCAGTTTTGGGATTATCAGAAATTGATATTTGGTTTTTAAGAACTTATTTTGGGATTATACTTAATATATCTGCAGCTTCGAATGGTCCTATTCTGTTTTTGAATAGGTTTGGTGATTTAAATTTATACCAAATTTACAAGTCGTTTGAAAAATAAATATTTCAGTTCTGATTTTAATAATGCATATGCTAAAGAATTTGGACGAATTAAAAAAGCTATTAAAAATATAAATTCTCAATGATGAATATAATTAATACTATTTCACAATTCTATTTCAAATGCTATTTCACTATTACTATTTTCACAATTCGTTTTACTTCGCATTATATACAATTCGAGAATTAATTTTTTGTTTAAATTTAATACAAAATTAACATTTTAATTTTTACTTTTTCATATGTAATTTACTTATGGACATTTTTTACTTATATTTAACATCAAATTTACTTTTTTTACATCTCGATACTGTGAAAATAAACGTAAAACAGGTGTAAGATCTTTAAAGAAATTTCGAACCCTAATAAAATTTTTTAGACTTATTTGAAAGCCATTTAAATTTGCTACAAGATAGCAATTGTTATTCTAACTGATTAAAAATTTTAGCAAAAGTCTTTCCCTATCCGAAATTGTTTTAATTTGTAAATTGAGATTTTTTGTCATTATTCGCGAAAAACGAGTTGGGCATGTGCCAAAAAAGGCTTATAATAAATTCTCGCATTTCGTACTCCCTTTTTAATGAACCTGATGTGATTGAACCTAATTAGCTTGTGTTCTATTTTGGGAATTTTTTTAAAGCTCAATACTAGTAATTAAATGTAATTTTATTTAATACATTGTAATTAAGTTTTTATGTTGTATTTGTCGTGTTAAGTGCTTAATTGACTTAAGTTAGATGAATGTAATTTCATTATTTATATAGAAATTTGGGTTTGTTTCACAATTCTCAGTAAATGTTATATTATAAATTTGATTTATATCTAAGAATAAAATAATATAATATTTAAGATTGCGAATATTTTTTATGTTTCTTTAAAAATGAAATGTATTTTATTTAAAATATTTCATAAAAAATTATTATTAATTACATATTTCCTTAATTTTCATAATTATTTAAGATAAAATAGTTAATTTTATCCAATCCACGACTATCAAAATCAATTTTAAATCTAAAATATTCTTAAATTAATAAGCGTTATTTTAAAATGAATAATACAACATTGAAATTACCTGTTAGTTTATTTATGCGTTTGTAAATTTCAATTTCTGACAAAGATCAATGAAATTCCGCTGATTATAAAATTTCCCTATACATAAATTGGAAAAAAATTCCCTTATCAATGATTCTTATCTTTTTCTTTCCTATGGCAGAGGTCTCTCCGATGATGACATCCCTTTAATTTACTTGATATCCCGGCTAAGAAATATATACAACTAAAAATTTTTCTTTTTATGAAAAAATTTACATGAAAAATATCGAATTTCGGATCGGTTCTAAGAGCATAATGTTGAACTTTGTCGATCACATCCATAATTAAAAATAAATTAAGGAAATTTTTCTTGCATATCCATCTTCTGGTTTTCAATTTGATCTTTTCCTTCCAGCATTAATTACATGCTTATTTGCTATTTTTGGAATTACTGTAAATTCAAGTGTGTGTTATATAATTTGGAAATATTGGTAATTTAAATTTTGAAAGTTTTTAAATAATTGCCAATGATTTATTATAAATTCTGTACCATGTTTTGCTTTTTACAGTGAATCTTTGTCAATAGAAAAAGCTTCCGACTAAGAACATACGAACTTTCACCGTATTCCCTAAAAATTTTTGAGTTAGAAGGCTCACATTAAGGTGCGCACGCACAATGCGGAACCATAATTTTTCAAATGTTGAGTTAGGTACTAATCGCCAAATAATAAGTACCTTTTTACATTTATTTATTCATAAACATAAAAAAATGTCATGAAAGGACGTGCCACTTAATTCAACAACAATGTAGTAATGTGGCACAAAAAATGCAATACAGATATAAACAGCATAAAATAATAAATGTCAATAACTAAAAAACAGATATAAATTTAAATTTTAATTGTTTTATTTCCTTGAATAAATATACTCCGTACCGACCATTTCACCTAAATATGGTGATTTAATAGACCTCATAAATAGACAATCATTTAATAGTCAATCAAAATTCTTTATGAAAAGAATAAATTAGTTAATTTGTAATGTGTATTTATGAAAAAGACAATAAAAGAGAAAAAGGAAAATGCAGGGATGTTAATTCATGTCAAATCTTCTAGATTTGAAAAATATTTTTTATATTTATTAACCTTTGGCCGAAAAATAAAATTTGTCATCATTTATCTTCAAATATTTTTTGGCCCGCTCAAATTGGCCTATCCCCGCCCTTTTGTCCCCTTTTTGCTATTTTTCTATAAAATACAATTTTTTAATGTTTTTTATTCAGTTATTCAGTGTTTATTCAGTTTTTGGATTTTTTGCAGTTAAAATTAATTTGTCCTGTTTTCCCCCCTTTTTTTTCGTGCATTTGTTTAATTTTGGAAAGAACAATATTTTGTGTTTTGTTGTTTTAAAGATTTTTGTTGAGAAAATAAATTGTTGTTGAATTTGGCTTTTTGGTGAATTTTTTTTTGGAAATCAAGATTTCCCCCTTTTTCCCCAGTTTTAATTCCGGATACGAGATAGCTTCGTTTCCGAGACAGCTCAGCCGGTGAACCCTCACCGAGTAAAACCCCTAAAAAAAAATTATAATAAATTTTTTCCCCTTATTATACTTCCAGCTTATTCCATTTTTTTTTTCGCTCTAAATCCATCTAATTAATTCATTTCTGGCTTTATTGAATTTTAATTTCTTCCAATAATACTTCTACATTTAACCGCTTAATTCTTATATTAACTATAATTAAAAATGTCTCAAGCCTTCCAGCGGCAATTAACCCAATCATGTACTGATGCGGAATTAATTTTGCAACAAAATAAACAATTTCCCCTTCCCATAAAAGACCCCCTAAATTCCGAAAAACAATTCCAAAATTGCGTAGAAGCTACAATAAAATCCCTCGATATTGTCCAACAAAACTTAGCTGAGATCCTGGATGATCTTACAATTGCACATAATGGGTGGATGTCCCTAAGGGCTTCCATGACAGGAAATGAAAGAGCCCAAGACACTCCCATTTATGACAATTTCCAGCAGGATACTTCCTATATAAGAATTATGAATGAGCTAAAAAGGTACAACCGAACTTTACGTACTGCCCGTGCTAATTTAGAAGGAGCCCTCACGAAACCTACCTCTCAAGTGTCCCACTCTCATCTCCCTCGCATGGACCTACCCAAATTTTCCGGAAAGTGTACGGAATTCTTATCATTTTGGAACCAGTTTCAGGCCTCGGTAGGCGATATGTCAACCCTCTCAGAATCGATAAAACTGTCCTATTTGAAAACATGCCTTACTGGTGCCCCTCTTTCACTCATTGAACCGTTACCACTTACCGACCAATCATATACTGCCGCTGTTGATCTTTTGACCGAAAAATATGGTAATCCCGAGGAGATAGCCCGGAATTTGCATAAATCTCTCAAAACCCTTCCCCGTGTCCGAAAAGAAAATTTTTGTAAAGATTTAAACGATTTGGTTGATTCTTTTGAAGGTCTTTGTATCCAAATGGAACAACAAGGTACTAATGTGGACAGTCTTCATATTCAAATGGAAGTAGAGTCCAAGCTTCCTCCCTATCTCCTTGAGGAAATTTATAAAGAGAAGGAGTCATCCCACGACGCTTGGACCACAGACCACCTGAGAAAGAAGCTAAAATCCGTTCTGAAGCGAAAACAAGAAATAAATGCCATCCACTCTAATCACCTTCCAAAACCTCCAATTATGTCAAAACCCACTTACCAACATCAACGAAATTCCTTTTCTCCTCCTCATGGCCCACAATCTTCTCTGACATTTGTTGCGCAAGGGAAAGCGCGTACCCCGACCCATCCCAATAATTCCAAGCCAATCTCTGCTTGTATTTTTTGTGGACAGAACGGGCATTCCTCCTCGTATTGCCGACAATTTCCCGATCCTAATTCTCGGTATGCCCGCCTAAAAGAATTAAAGAAATGTTTTCGCTGCCTGAAAGATGGCCACTTTGCTCGTGCATGTCAAAATCCTCAGAAATGTACGAATTGTTCCGGAATGCATCCCCGCTTACTATGTAATTCCCAAAATAATTCTTTTACAGAAAACAGACAGTTCCAGCCGAGAGTACCGTATAACTCAACCAATTATTCTCATGGTAGCTATCAACGACCAATGCCTTTATTTTCAAATTACCAACCAGTTAATCAGCCCGTATATGGAAATTACACCCCTATGGCAAACAATATTAATGAACCCGTAAATCAAACCGTTCCGACCGTAAACCCGGAAAATAACCCTGTCAATCCAGTAAATCCACCCCAAACAAATGTGTCCTCTGTTTCAGCACCCCGTGGCTCTATCTTATTAAAATGTGTTAGAGCTCACATATTTAACCCGAAAAATCCCTCGTTCTTTTCCCAAGTAATTGTGCTTTTGGACGATGCGAGCACAAACACGTACATTCATTTTGCTAAAGCTAAAGAGTTGCAATTACCGTTAACCCCCACTTCGATGAATTTAGGAGTTTTTAACAATCCCTACTCTATTAAAACAAGTTCGTTTCTGACCGAATTTGGAATACGTTTGGCCGATGGCCGTTCTCTTACATTAAAAGCTAATACACTCGATCACTTGACTCAGCCTACCCGTTACGTTCCCTTCTCCCCTTCATTACTTTCTTATTCGAATGAATTGATTTTCCAACCCGAAACTGTTGTTCCTGTTGTGTTATTGGGTTCAGATTTTTACTACGATATCGAACCGACCCCAATTATGAAATTGCCCTCCGGTTATACTCTCGTTCATACCTTGTTGGGCATAATTGTTGCCGGAAAACCTTATGATTTTGTTCCAAATAATTTCACCCGTCATACTAATTGTATTACCCAAGAAACTACAGTACCCCCGTCTGATTTCTTTACTCTAGAAGGAATAGGAATTAATGATGAACCGACTCCCGTAAATTCCCAAAACGATACGGTATATGAAGAAACGATTAA